CCGGGAAGTGGTGCTGGAGGTCCGGAGCGTCCCTAGCCCCAACTTCTTCTTCCGCCTCATCGTGTGGTCCTACGGGTGGCTGGATGCCGGCCTGGCCGTCTTCGTGGGGGAAAGGTGGGTGAGCTTTAAGGTAGGCGTGTACGTGCTGGGCTCCTTCTACTTGGGCGCCATGGGGATCTGCTTTCTGGCCCTCCTCCTCGACCACCTGGCCCGCCCCTTTTTCTGGTTCTACCGCCGTCTGAGGCGCTCCCCCACCTTCCGCGATTTCTGCACCCGGGTGGAGGACAACCGCCGGTTCCTCCTCGATCTCGACTGGAGGGGGCCTGATGCCCAACCCGTGGACGACGACTTCTTCAAGGACATCATCCGAGGGAGGAGCGACCAGCCCCCGAGGCTGCCCAACCACCTCGCGGCCGAAGTCGGGGGCCAGCGGGTACGCCTGGATCGAGGGCAGTACGGTGGCCCCATCCGGAAGGAGAAGCGGGCGGGCCAGGACTTCCCGTACGCCCGGGTGCATGACTGCACGGACCCTGACCTCCGACGCCGCCTGGTGGGTGCGGACACCAAGGTGGTCCACCTCTGCAGGGCGGGACCTGTGGGCGGCTGTCCCAGCGTGGGCGCCTTCGCCATGCACTTCCGGAAGTATACCGCGGTCGACGCCAAGGCCATCCTCGACCTCACCGAGGACAGGGACCTGGGAAGCCCCTTCCTGGCCGGCTTCCGCACCCTCTGGAGGGCACTCTGGGGTGGGGTCCAGCGCATCGCCCATTCCTTCTTGGCCCGGGGTTGTTGCTGCTGCCGGAGGGGGACCCGCCTGCGCCGGCCGGGACCGCGCCAGGTCACCGCGAACCCCCGGGGACCTCAGCAGGAGGAAGACGACTGGGAACCCTGCGTGGCCGAAGCAGTGGGCTGGATGGACGCGAAGGGAGGGTACTGTTGCCTCCAGAAGCATGGCGCTTGCGAGGATCGGAGGGGGCCCAAGCCCACCCCTTTGCTCATCGAGGACGGGCCCACGTCTGACACCCGGGGGTGGCCGCGCAACGGAGGAGGGGCACCGATGGCCTGCCTGTGCCGCTACCACGGCCTGGAGTACCACAACCTCCGCCTGAGCCTCCAGTGCTCGGAGCCAGGCTGCTGGCACATTGGGGAACCCATGTTCGGTGGGAAGCGCCTCTGCCTCAGGCGCGCGAACCCCTCTCCGCAGCCTGCTCGAGAGGGGGGGGGGAGGGCGGACACTAGCAAGTCCCCCCCTGACCCAGCACGCCTAAGCGATGCCGGGCCAGCCGCCGAACCCTCCGCGGTCCCCACTGCGGGCCCTGCGGAGGGGAAGCCCGCACTGGGGGCAACCGGGGAGCCTCCCCACCCCTACGCGCGGGTCATCCCTCCCGGGCAGCAAGCTCGGGGAGGGGGAGCGCTGTTCAACGCCCTTGGGGAGCCGCGCCCCATCCTGCGCGCGGAGGGAAGATCTGCCCCCCCACCCCCTCGAGGCGGTCGCATCGCCCGCCTGCTCCACACGCCCTCAAGCAAGGAGGAGCTGCTGAGGTTGGGGGGGGGGGCCACGCCCCGGGGCGCCGGGCGGGGGGAACGCCGGTGAGCAGCACGGAGCTGGGGCTGTGCCTCCAGGCGGGTGCCACGGGCAAGCCGACGGGGGCGAAGATGCTGGAGGCGGCGGCGGCCGTGGGCCGGAAGCCGCACCGAGTGCGGACCGCGATTCTGGAGCAGGCCCGGGGGCACCTGGAAAATCCGCTCCTCCTCCCCTCGGCGCTGGAGGAGGTCACTGCCCAACTTGCCCAATGGGGAAGGGCAGAGGGCGCGGTGCGGGCCCTCGCCCTCCGACCGCGGGGGGCCTCCCCCAAGCTGCCGCTGAAGCCCCAGGGCCCCCGCCCCACGCCCCCGTGGAGGCGGGGGGAGAGCCCCCGCGCCCTCCAGCCGGTAGAGGGAACCCCCGCCGAATCGGCTCAGGCCGTCGTCCCCGGAGAAAGGAAGCGGAAGGGTTCCTCCGTTCCCGCGCCCCTGCGGGCGCACCGTCCCCCCGCGAGGGAAGAGGGCGGGGGGGGGAACCTCACGTGCCTCCAAGGGGCCGCGCGGAGGGTATGCCACCTCGCGCGGGGATGCGGCACCTTCCAGGTGGCCGTGGGACCTGCCCATCTTGGGCGGGAGCTCTACTTGACCCTGCGCGGACATGGCCGGGGGGCCCTCGCCCTGCTGGAGGGGGTCGGCTGGCCCCTCCCGCTCAGCAACCGGATTGCGCATGGCTTGGCGGCCTGCCTGATGGGTGCCCCTAAGGCGGGGCCCGCCGACCCGAACGCCCTCACGGTGGCCGACTTCGTGGTCGCAAGAGGCGCGGACGCCGGGCCCCTCGTCGCCGCGGAGGGACACAGGAGGGCCCCCCCCTCGCCGGCCCCCGCAGACCTTGGCACGTGGGCGGAGGCCGCCCAGACGCAGATCCGGGTGTTCGCCCTGACTTATGGGCAGGAGCACTCACTGCCCAGGACCACCGCCCTGCGGTTCTTGCTGCGCGAACATCAGGACCGGCCGGAGTACCTATCCCTCGCCGACTTGATGGAGGTCTGGGAGGAGCTCACGTGGCACTGGTGGGCGAAGATGCGGGACGAGCTCCGGTCCGTGGAGGCCGAGCTGGGCTCCCACCCAACCGCGCTGCCGGAGCTGACGGCCTATGCCACAGCCCCGGATGTGCGCGGGAGAGCCCGCGCGAAGATCCCCCGCGCGTTCGTCGTCGAAGACCCCGCGGAGTACTACCACCGGATCGTTGCCCCGCGCCTTCGTCGGGGGAGGATCGGACCCTGCCAGTCTCGGGGCGGGGGGGCCCTCCCCGGGCCCGGGCCCGTGTGTCCGAGGGGCGGTCGTGGGTGGGAAGAACCCCCCCTCGGGCCTGGCGCGTTCCCGCGCCCCCCTCCGAACACCAATCGGGAGCCACCCACCGAGGGCTCCTCCCCCCTCCTCGGCCCCGCTCTTCTTTACGCCTACCCACGCGCGAGCGGAGGAGCGCAGGAGGTGGGCGAGGAGGGGGCCCTCCCTGTGGGGGAGGAGGCGGCAGCATCAAGCCTGCCTGTGGACCCCCTGGAGTGGGACGCCGCCTTGAGCCCCCACCCGGAAGAAGACGAAGTGGGGCCGGCCGCGAGGCAGGCGTCGCCGGAGCCCCCCCCTTCGTGTGGGAGGGAAGGGGCCACCGGAGGCCGAGCCCTGCAGCCCCGCTCGGCGAGTGCGCCGCCGGGAGGCTTCGTGCTGAACGAGAGCCACACCTGCCTGGCCGACGAAGAGGGCGAGATCCGCTACCTGACTCCCCCTACCCAGGAGGCCTTGGATGCGCTGAACGAGGCGGCCGCCCGGGCTGGCGGGGGCAGCCCGGCCCCCGACGCGCCGCTCGAGGCGGGAAGGGGCGGAGCGGGAAGCCAGAGCACCACCTCGGAGGAGGGGGAGATGCTGGGTGGCTACCTCTACGCCGCCCAAACCACCGCCGGCACGCCGCGGCGGGATGAGCCGGGGGAAGGTCAGACAGGAGGACCCTCACCGGGGATCGAGGGGGAAGGGGGGGGACAGCCCCCGTGGCGGGAGCCCTCCCCCCCTCCACAGCCCCGGATTACGCCCGAGCGGTGCGGAAGGCACTGGCGCGGGGGGCTACTCCCAGGGACCAGGGGGGCCTCCTGCTTTGCTGGGGCTACGTCAGCCACCGGGGGTGTGAGGGAGGGGGGGGTGTCTGCCCCCACGCCCACTGCGACTTGGGGCCCGCTCGGGGACTGCCGGCCCCACTCATGGGGGAGCTGGTGCGCCGAGGGGGCTGGAAGGACCAGCCCGTGGTGGCGGAACAGGATCAACCGGCGCGGCTGGCCGCCCTCCAGGGGGGGCCCTCAACCGGGCGGGGGGGCGAGCCACCCACGCACGTCCGGGCCTGGGACCCGACCAGGGGGGAATATGACTGGTTCACCCCCCTCCCCGGGCGGGAAGACGTCTTGGATCAGTACCGCAACGGTCCGGACTTCGGCTTCACCGAGAACCACCATAAGGCGCATCGCCTCAACCCAGTTGGAGACCCGGACGACCCCGAGGAGGAGGCGCGGGAGGCCGGAATGCAGGCCATTAACGCGCGCCCCGATGTGCGGGAGTTCCTCAAGGGGGGGCCCTCCCGGCACCTGGAGACCGCGGTCAAGAACCACCTCCTGGAGGAGCACCTGGCCTCGACGGCGACAGGAGGGGTGCTCGCCGTGCTCCGGAGGGTCGTGGACGGACCCAACTGGAAGCTGGTCCGGGAGGCCGCCGACTGCCTCGATCGGCTCGCGCCCGAGCCTGGCGGCACCCGGGGGGGGGGCGTCCGCCCCCCCGACCGCAGAGGTCACGCCCGGCTCCTCCAAGCCCCGGACGCGGGGGGCGGGGTAGGGCGGGGGGCCTTCCAAATGGATGGAGGGGAGTGGGACATGCTCGACTTCCACGACCGCCTCCCCCTCAGAGAGGACCCTCTCCTCGCGGAGCGCTTGGGCATCCAGGAGGACTGTGAGAGAAAACAGTGTATCCTCCTGGGCGCGGCGGGCGCCGCCCTCTGGGCCCGTGAGGGAAAGGGGCCGCCCAGCCTCGCGGAGGTCTGGGCGCGCGCGCTCACGGCCAGAGCGGAGCAGCTGGACCAGGCAGTTCGGGCGGAAGAATCACCGGGGCCTCCGGAGGCCAAGCTGGCGGTCGGGGAGGCGGACCTTCGGATCTTCATCCACGACGCGGTTGCCCCACACCACGACAAGGACTACCGCACCCTGGTCGTGTTCCCCCTCCGCCTCCTGGAGGATGTCGCCCTAAACGTCGCGATGATGGACTACGGTGGGAAGGTGACCACACACCTTCTGGAAGGAGCCCGCTCCGGGGAGGGCTCACCTCAGGCCTGGATGTTGATCCACCGGGGGCACGCCCGCGCCCTCCGCCCCCGAACGCCGACCTCGGGAGAAGCGGGAGGGGATGCGTGCCTGGGAGCCCCCCATCAGACTCTTCGGAGGGAGGCCACGGTCATGAATGGCTGGGAGGAGTTCCTCAACCGCGACGCCCGAGGCACGGAGGTCTCCTGGAGCACCTACGTCAAGTGCCAGGCATGCGAGGAGCGCCCCGCGGCGAGGGAGGCGGCCCTCAGGGCTGGCCGGAGGGCTGCAGCGGCAGAGCCTGCCCGGGCACCCGCAATCAGGGCCGCCCTCCAGCTGTGGGGGGAGCTCGTCTCGGAGCACCCCGGAGCTTTGGGGGACACGCCCGCTTTCCGCTGGGGACCCCGCTTCAAGGAGGTGTTCGCGGGAACCGCGGGGGTGGCCCGCGCGGTGGAGCGGCTGGGCATCCAGGCGGATGAGCCCGTGGAGTTGTACCGGAACCCCCTGCGCCCCAAGGAGTCCGAGAGGAGGGAGGACCACGACCTCTCGAACCCCGACGTCGCCGAGGCCCTGGTCAAAGAGGCAGATGCTCCCCCGGGCCCGGGAGTGGCCAACGTGTGGATGTTCGAAAACCCGTGTACCTCCTTCTGCGACCACAACACCAAAGGGGGCACCCGCACCTGGGAGAAGCCGGAGGGGACCGGTGTAAACGGCAAGGAGGTCTTGGGAAACGCCCTCTCCCAGACCACGGTAAGGTGCATACGGAACCTTCATAATGGAGGAAGGGATGGATGTTCGAGAACCAGGGGCATAGAGGGATATATCCCAAGGTCCACGACCTCCCGGAGTGGTTGGAAATCCCGGAAAAGACCGGTGCCGTGATCATCCCGGGAACGATGTGCGCCTGGGGCCTCCATCCCTCAGACGCTTCGTCCCCCCGCCAGTTCTATCGCAAGGGGTGCTGGCTGGTCGTCTCCGCGAACCTGGCCCCCTTCTTCACGAAGCTCCGGAGACCCTGCCCCGGTCTCTCTCCGGTGCACTAGCACGTGGAACTCAGGGATAACGTCCCAGGGACGGGCATCAAACGGACAAGGGAAGCCGCCCAATACCCCCCGCGCTTCGCCCGCGCCGTGGCGCTGGCCATTTGGACGGCCACGAAACACCCACCCACCACGCCCTCGAGGGGGGGGGGGGGCACGGGAGATGGTAAACTCAGGCCCTCAGGAGAGGGAGGGGGCGATGGGGGAGGGAGCCAACCCTGGATGCCTCCCCAACGGGCAGCTGGCAGCCTGGGAAGCGGGACGGAATCGGGGAACCAGGCGCCGGGGAGAGCGGGCCGAACCGCTCAGGACTGGGCGCAGGAGCTGTGCACCCATTGTGCGGACAACCCCAAGTACTCCCCCGAAGTTGCGAAGGAGGGGGCCCGACTCGGTGATGGCCTAGTCCAGGCGGCGGGAGGCTGGAAGGAAGCAGTCGACTGCTACCGAGAGGCCTGGACGAGCCGGTGGGGGAACAACCTGGACGGGGTCTTCAAGGAGGAGCTATGCGAGCTGCTCGACCCCGACCTCAGGGATTACCTCCACCAGATGGTGAAGGGCGGGGTTCCCGCCCGCCAACCGCTGGCCCAGGTTCGGGCCCCCTCCAAACCGCACATGAGCGCGCAGGGGCACATGGAGGAGGCGATGGAGAAGTTGTGGAAGGACGCCAAGAGGGGGAGGGTCCTCCTCTGCGGAAAGGACTCGGAACCTTACCTACGCGGTGTCTTCTCCTCCCCCTGGGGAAGGGTGCCGAAGATGAACCCCGACCGCACGATCTCGGAGGAAGGAAGGTTCATCCACGACCAGAGGGCGATGAACGAGACGGGGCACAAGTACCTCCACCCCCCAGCCTTGCAGCCCCGCCATCGGGGACTGGCGAGGGAGATCACCTGGTGGAAGGAGCGGCACCCGGGGGTAAAAATCCTGATCGCCAAGCGGGACATAGCGGAGGCCTTCCGCTGGATCTGGTTACGGGCGGAGGATGCCGGCATGTTCGCCACGGAGCCCCCTGGCAAGGTGGTCGGGATGGAGGGCAACCTGGTGGCCATCTACCTCGCCCTCACCTTCGGGTGGATCGGGGGCCCGGGGGAGTACATGGCCTTCGGGACGGCCCTGAAGCAGGACCATGGCCGCCACCGGCCGGCCGACCCAGGATGGCACGACGACGTGCCCCACCACTCGCACCTCCTCATGGACGACGACGTCCTCGTCGAGCCCCTCCTGGGACGGCGCCCCTGGATGGCCGCCAGGCTGGCCGAGGAGGGGGCCCATAGAGTATTCGGGCCTCTTGCGATCAACGCGGAGAAGAAGGACGAGGAGGGAGAGTTCCGCGTGGACCAGATCTGCTGGGGGGTCCACGTGAACACGGAGGAGGAGACCCTGCGGCTCCCCGAGGAGAAGGTCAACAAGATCCGGATCCTGCTGAGTGACCCGGCCTACGACACGGGGAACACCCAGGTAGCCCTGAAGGATGTCCAGGTCCTCCGCGGCACCCTCAACTTCGCGGCCATCACCTGCCCCCCCCTCCGCCCCGAGTTGGGGGCGGTAGACCGGCTCCTCCGCACTGCGGACCCGGCTGGGGTTTGGGTCAAGATCAAGGAGAGCAGCGAGGGGAGGGAGAAGGACGCGTGGGACGAGTTGTGGGAGGCGCTGGAAGTTTTCCGCCTCTACGCGGGAGCGCCCCAGGCCTGGGCCACCCACTTTAACGCAGGCTTGAAGGGGGTCCTCCAACCCCAGGAGCGGCTCGCCCTCCCCGGCGGAATGGAGGAGCTGGTCTGGACAGGAGGGGGCGCCACCGAGACCCGGGTGGGGGCCGCCGACTGGTCAAACGGGGTGTACGGGGTCATGGATGTCAAGGAGGTCATGGAGCCGTTCCACGCGGTTTTTGGGGAGGGAGCCGACATCATCGCCATCTGCGAGCTGTTTACCTTCCTGGTGCTCGCGGTGGCCCAGGCCCCGAGATGGGAGGGGCGCCTGGTCCTCTACGTCACGGACAACACCAACACGGAGATCTGGCTCAACAAGCGGACGGCGAAGAACCGCCTCGCCCGCTACGGACTGCGCCTCCTCCAGCTCCTGGAGACCCGCTACGGGTTCCACACGGTTACGGCGGGAATCTGGACCAAGCACAACAGCAGCATGGACCTCATCTCCCGGGAGACGAAGAGCGTAGTCCAGGAGGAGATGAACCGCCTCGGCTTGGAGGAGATCGACCTCAAGGGACCCTGGAGGGAAGTGCTCGCGGGGGCGGAGAAAGGCCGCCCTTTGGTCCTCCCTGGAGACTCGGAGGAGGGGCGCCGGCTGGCTTACCAGCTGGTGGAGCGCCGCCGGGCGCGGGGGCCGCCCGCCGGGCCCTTGGCCGGGGCGCAGGTCTTCGAGTGGCGTGCGACCCTCTCCCCCTACTGCCGGGTGGCCGGAGAGATGGGGGCATGGATCGGAGCCACCACCCCCAATCCCGGTTCAGCCGTGAGCCACCCCTGGTGGGAGGTCCACCAGAGTCGACTCGTGGCCGACCGGGCCGGGCGGGCCAGGACCGCGGTGAAGGAGACTTGGGTCACCTGCTCCAGTGGCAGCGACCCCACCGGCCGAGAGGCCCTCTACTTCGTGCGGCACGCGCTCTCCCACGCCGCCACCCTCGTCGTGCTGGACGGACCTCTGGACCAGGATCTGGGGGGAGCCCGCGAGGTCTTGCAGGAGGGTGGGTACGACACTGCGGAGAGCGTGGTGCACACCCACCTCCTTGGGGACCGGTGCGCCAGGTCGCGCCGCCTCCTCCTTGCCTGGAGAGACGGGGGGAACTGGGGGAGCGCCGCACTCGCACTCCTGCGGCGGGGCGAGCGATTGGTCCCACTGAACCTCAGCAACGCCCTGTTGACGCCCGAGGCGGTCCCTCCGGAGCTCTACATGCAGGAGGAGGAGGGGAGGGCCCACTGGCGCCACTTCAAGGTCCCTGAGAGGGCCGACCGCGGGGAGGGAGGGCGCCCCACCGCCCTCCAGGCGGCCGGGACCTGGAAGAGCGCCTGGGAGTCGGAGGGGGACGTCAGGGTCATCCTTAGCCCGATGAGCAGCGGGCCCGACTACCCACTCTGGCACCCTGACGAGGTCTCCGGGCACTACCCCGTGCCATTGGAAGACGCGCGGGGGGATGGCACCCCTCGGGTGAGGCGCTTCGATCCCAAGGAGGCCTGGCAGATTTCCGGGGGCCTCCTTCACGATTGGCGGGGGGAAACCCGAGCGGGGGTCCCTGCGGAGGTGCTCCTCGTGGGTGCCGCCCGCTCCATGCCGCCCGTCTCCGCGCGCCAAGTGCTGTGGGCAGCGGCCAGCGCGAGGGAGGGCCTCCTCGCGGAGGGAGCCCGGGCAGGGGTGTGCCGAGATCCTGATGAGGACGTCATGGCCGCGGCCCACGCGACGTGGTTCAACGCCTGGAAGGCTAACCCCGAGGACCCCCGGACTGCTTACGAGCGGTGGCTCCGAGAGGCCCGCGGGGCCCGGGCTGGAGGACCACCCGGAGGGACCCCGCAGAGCGGAGGTGCAGGCCTGCTGGGCGGCCCCCACTTGGCGGGGCCCGCTCCCCCTTTGCTGGGGCCCCGGACGCGGGGGACTGGGGGCTCCCTCGCCCCCTCCAGCACCGCCCCCCCGACGGGGGCGACGTGGGCCGAGAGGGGGGCAAGGGGCCCGCGCCTGAGGCGCCTCGCCCAGGAGGAGGGGGAGGAGGCCATGGGGGCCGCTCACGGCGGCACCCCGCGGCCGGAAGCCCCAGGCCCAGGCGGAGCCCCAGTGCCCTCTGCTGACGGCGGAGGGGGATCAACCTCAGATTGGGGGAGGCCACCGGGCGGACGAGAGGGAGCGCCTACGGGGCAGCCTCATCTTCGGGAACCTCGCGAAGGGGACACGCACCTCATGCGCCGTTGCGTGGAGGCAGCGGTGCCTTTTCCTCAAAGCCCGTGGCGGGGGCCCGCTCCTCACGGGGCTGGGGGGGGAGGGCCGGCGGCAGGATGAGGACGTGCTCCTGGACTGGATCGCCCACCTGGCCCATGTCCAGCACCGCTCGGAGGGGGCGATCCGGGGAAAGCTGATGGCGGTCCGCCACTACCATATCGCGGCGGGATACCCGGGCCCTTTGGAGCTGGCCCCCAGGCTCGCGCTGGCGCTGGGGGGACTACGGAGGATGGGCGCCAAGCAGAACCGGAAGTACCCTGTCACCATTGAGATGATGCGCTGGCTAAAGGGGAAGTTGGACTCCGGGAGGGTAGGAGACGCGGCCGCCTGGGCCGCCCTCACCACCGCCTTCTTCTTTATGCTGCGCGCCTCCGAGTACCTCGCCGACACCTCCGGGGGTAGGGATTGGGCGGCGGAGCGGGTCCTCTTCGGGAGGGATGTCACCCCGAGGAGGGAGGGCGCGGTCTGCCCCACCTTCGCGTCCGCGGACGAGGTGGTTATCTACATCAAGGGGAGCAAGACCGACCGGTGCAATTTCGGATGCTGCCGCAACCACTACGCCACGGGCAATCCCCTTTGCCCTGTCGGAGCCCTCGCCGAGCTGGAGAGGCTGGCGCCCCAGCGGTGGACCTCGGAGGGAGACCCACCTCTTCCGAGACGGGGATGGGAACCCCATCCGGCGGAAGGACATCGCCGACCTCTTGGGCCAGGCGGCGAAGGCGGTGGGGATGCACCCCTCGCACA